CACTATCTCCGCTGCGACTCGATGAAGTAGAGCCCCCGTTGAAATTGAATTACGCGTCTCGAATAAACGAAACTTGCTCTCCATACGGGCGAGCTAATTTTATAGAAGTCGGTTACTTTCTAGCGCGTGTACCCCAAAAAATTAAACGGAGTTTTGTAATTTGACAGAAATTCGATTCGCCACGGGTGAAACAATGAAATGGGCCGCTGCACGATTTCTGATCGTCGAAGCCTCCAGTGCTGCGCAAACGGCGCATTTAATAGGATCGAAAGGCTATACAAACGATCGGGAAACAATTGATTAATTAATACCGAGTACACGTTTAATCCGTAATATTACGCGATATTAAGGTCCCGGGGAGACAGGGGGCATTTGCGTTGCTCAAGTTGCTCGAATAAATTTTATATACGCTTTGTTATGTGGTCGAACCTATTGAAACAAAAACTGTTCGAAACTCGCGTCTTTTAACATACTTCTTCAACAGGTTCTCGAGATCTGCGAGTAGTATGAATGGAAATAACATGTAAATGCGATCTGGTACACGATACTGCTCTGTTCCCCGTAGCATCTATTCGTTGAAATTGCCTCGACTCGGTTCGAAGTTAATAACAATCTGTCGCGATGCACATGTGCCTGGAAAATGTCACTTAAGCCTCCGACAATAATGGAATTCCCTTTTCTTTTCACGGGGGCTGGTTCGTTCAGCAATTCCAGTCTTGGGCCGATAATTCGCAGATCGAATTTAAGAGACAGAATCCGTATTGGCTTCGGTTTCAGACAAAAATCGCTGTTTACACCGAATCGACCCGATTCCATTACTCAGGAGCCCTAACTCGAATGAAAATGTATTTTGCCAGTGGTTGTCGGTTTTAACGGTGACCGTGGCCGAAACGAACGAGAAGTATGGCCGATTGGGGGTACGTTTTGTCACAGCGAAATACAAGTGGAAGGCACGTATCGTCCCTTTGCATTCGAGGCTTCTCGATATTAAAGCCGAGGCAATGTAGGGGATTGCGACGATTGGTGGCATGCAACGATCTGCTTGGCGCCTGGACTCCCGATAATTATGTGCCAATTAAATTTAACGACTATCCATTATTCCGGTCTGCGAACGCGCGTACAGGCTCCCTCACCGCTGCCTTCCTCTTCCTACCGATTCAACACCCCTTATACCACACGTCCCCCCCCCCTTCCTGGCCACCGATCGAATGGGCACATTGGCAACAACTAGCCAGGTCGAAATCCAATTACCTTTTAATATTGTTCGAACGGGGCCCCGAGATCGAATTGCCTTTGCGAAATTCCGGCCAGGCTGGCTTGAAAAATTACGGGGAACAGGACTCCTGCCAGCACGTAAATGGCACTCGCGGCCCAACCATATTTTCCTTCCTCCCATACGTCCTGCTACGGGGACGTTCTCGAACGGCACAACGGTTCTCCTTTTCTCGCCGTTTCGCCCCCGCGGATTTAACAGAGTAAAACGTTCGACAGTTCCGATAGAATTGGAACGCAGATCGAGATAATGGTTTTACACGACTAGACCTAAGTGCACGCGAACGACGCGGAGCGAACTGTACGTAGATCCGCGATTTAAAGAACGTCTGGTCTTTATCGGAAAATTGTACGCGACAGGCGCTCGTTCTCTTTCGCGTTATTAATTTTTATTTTATTTCACCATCACGATTATAAAGAAAAAAATTACACTTTGTTACTGTAACATTGAAATAGTTTCGAGTCGTTATTTATATTTAGTACATAGAGAATATTAGTTTATTGTGAATCAAATGATTGCCATTTACGACGTCGAAAGATTTCCCTGAGTGTTTTGCTCGTGTATTTGTTTTACCTGTAGAGCCGTAAACGATTTTTTTCCCCCTGTCGAATCGCATTAAGAATTCAAGCATTTCGACCACAGATTTTCCCCCGGGCCAATCGCAAACAGCGATCGTCCTCCAAGCTCATTAAACGCGTGGCGACAGCATTTTTCCTGCAAACTTAATTATTGAAAGCAGCTTAAAAAAAGGATCGCAGTATCGATATTTGTCATGCAAATTGACGGGAATAAATTGTGCTCGTTCACGCGTGTACGTTAGCGTATTGATCCTGCTCAATTCGTTAATGCCGTTTAAGTGAAATCAACAATAATTTTTGTCGTTTCGTCGATTCGAAAGACACGTCTGCCTGGTAGCTTCCGTGAACTGAAACAATGTTGATACAGTCAGAACGGTGTATAGATATAAAACGTGCATGCGAGAAGAAAGAAACGATAGTTAGGACTACCTACTAATTAAATTTAAAGGAGACCTCTACGCATAATGCATCAAAATCGTTGGCATTCTTATCTATTCTCAACATACATTTACAGTACTCAACGAACCATCACTGGGGTCTTTTCTTTGGTTATCGCTAATTTTGTATGTTACAGAAAGTAGACTAATATGTGTGGAAAGTCTTGTTTAATAATTAGGCTTTGCAAATTCGTTAAATTGATCCTTCGTCGTTTCAACTTTAATATCTTAAATAAATATACAGAAAAGTCGTGAAAGTACGCGTACGTGAGCTGGCATGTGTGCTTTTCTGGCACCTCTGGAAAGTACTTCGTGGCACCTTTACTAAAAATCACATGCAAGTTGGTATACTTCAACTTTATACATTAGGACATCTTGTTACTGTTATTTTAAAAATATTACTGTATTTGATTCAGTTTATAAAAATTAAATTGAATACAGAAATGGCCCGTAGCACGTGTTTTAAAAAATGTACTGATTTGTGGCAATAAATTTCACACATTTATTTTTATAATAAATTACTCATATTTTCAAGTATAAATATTTGTAGATTTCACGTTTTTAATCGTTGATTTTTATTCATTAATCGAAATACTGCGTCGTTCGGTACGCGTAGACATATTTCAACGTGTCTGACCAATATCTAGTATTACTACTTAAATTTGATACTTTTCGCAAGTAATTTTATTTCAGACTAGTTATCGTTGTTGTATTGGTATTATTTGTGTTAATATCGAGGAGAACCAAAGCTGTGTGATCAAAAATATTACATAAATTCTAATTCGCTAAGATTAAGAGTGTTTCAATTTATTCTTATTTTACAAAAATCTACTTTCACTGTTTTCACTTGTGTTAATATTTGTGAACATTGATTGTGGTATAGTATTACCGGGTTATTACTATGTGGACGGTGGTAAAACCGATGGAAAGCAAACAATAACCTACCACCATCAACGTTTAGATACCAATGCAAGTAGAAATATCGAATAATGATCAGACACGTTACCCAAATTGCACGGAAACCTGAAGATTCCAGAATCGATTTTCTCGCTAACGAAACCCCGTATGGAAAACTGTTTTTCTACACGTCCAATCTATTTTTATATTTAGAATCACTCGTTATTTAATAAACATTAAAGCAACCCTATTACTTCGCGATTTTACTGTACATTATACTGTTTTAAATCTAAATCTCAGGAAAAGTGATTTCTTAATAATTTATTTGGTCTCTGAATAATTGTACTGATCCTAAAGTATTCGTAAAATAACAATAATAAAAAACAAATTTCGTTGTAGCATTTTTACGTTTTTCCCAAGCGAATGATACACATTATTGTCGTTAAACATCAACGAAAGTGAAAGAGCAATATATCAAGTGAAAGGCAATTTAAAGTATTACTTTCGTTACTGTTATAAATATTACTCACGTTGTCAATGACGCGTAATATTTTTTCGTTACAAAGGACAATATTATTCGAAAATATTGCGCTTCAGCAATCTTCGTCCGGCGGTAGTAGCTCGATTCTCGTCTCTGTACACGTAAAAACAGCATGCTGTCTGCAAAAGAAACTTTCCAATATAAACCTTACCGTCCTCTTGGTATCTACTAATAGTGTTGCGAATCTTTCCGTCGTCGAATAAGACTCGTCCTAGCAAGAGACAAGCTTGACATTGTAACTTCTAACATCAAGTTTCGGGATTCGAGTTTGTGGGGGGTGGAGAGGGGTTGCAGGTTGTCGTGGTTGCGGGTACAAGGAAGAGTCGATAGGGTGAGCACCAACACAAAGTGACCACTAAACACCTAACAACCAACAATAGCAGCCAACATCGAACATCGATAAACCAACGAAACTAAACCAACCACAAGTCACATTGTAACGGAATTCAGCGAACAGTGAAGACATAATCCAACATATTCACAATATAACGTATATACACACACACATACATACATATAATTATGTATATATACATATACATATATTATACGTAATATACGTATACCGTGTATAGATACAGAATATAGAATGTATACACAATGTTGAATGAATTATAAATACGTACGTGTGTGCGAAGAATGCCACTGCTCCCAGGTGAAATTTACACCACAAATTGTAACATTAAACGAATAAAGGAACGCCAATCAGTGAAAACTTAATGCGCGGCTACGCCGTTAAAATGCAAACGAGGGCGCGTTGCGTAACGAAAGGTGATTTGAACAAAAAAAAAATGTTTAAAAAAAAAATGTTCCAAGAATTTCTGAATAATTCGATGCGCGGACTTAATTAAAGTGCACATACCGCATTAAAACCGAAATTTGATGGCGCAGTTTAATTAAGGGGAACGTATACACCCGAACGAAAATTTGCTCCCGCCGGTCGGACGTAGACGCGTCAGAACGGAAGTACGCGTAATTATAACCGTGCCGTAAAAACCTCTCGAAACAATATAAAAACATTGGACCGGCGTCCCGTCGAATTTCATATCGAATTTAATGGTCTAGTTTAACGCTCGCAGTGCACTCTTCGCTCTACGTGCGTTTCGTACAACACTGATGGCTGGGCATCGTCGCTGCGGGCCGTCGTACAAGTTTCTCATTAAAACACTGAGGAGCACTAACTGTGAGACACGATAACGTAAAAGTGATACACGTTAAAACTTAATAAGGATGACATATCTTCACAGACACCGAGTAGGGGTATGGTGACGTACCACATCGAGTACATTGAGAACGTGGTTCGCGCGGACGACTCTAGTAGTGGTGGTTGTTGTTACATTGTGTGTTGTGGTCGTGGCAAGAAGAAGAAGAGATGGAGGAGGTGTGCGGCGCCCCCGGCCAGCCGGTCGCCCGTCACACCCTGAAACAGAATAATATTGTCACTTCCTTGCCGGATATATGCTATCCCTATCGACTATCTTGTCCCATCATTATCTAAACTCATTTCAGAACACGCAGAATCCAATCGAAATCTCAACGGATGATTACTCGCGCGTTAACATCTCTCCCAACGTTAGTCGGTTCAGGCATTCGATCGTTTCTTTTCGTTCTTATCATTTTATTTCATGTACAGAGAATATTCTATAATCGAGTGCTTGAACCCACTAATTCTCAAAGGAAGATTTTCTTTTATACGAATGTTATAAAAATTTGTATTCGATGCAACCAATTTTAATCGTACGGGTCTCAGCTAGCAATGATCAAATAATACTTAAACCTCAGGATGACTTCCGTCGGGCACGACTTCCGGTGTCATTTGAGGCCCCCTTTTTCAAACTTAAATTTTATTAGGTTTGAGTAACTCGAATTCGCATCTATGGAAGAAAATAACACATTGTTACACAGATATGCATTTTTCTTAATCAAAGGGCACAGAATGGTTTCTATACAAACCGATTCGTTCGTAATTATCGAGCAAAGTTGACCAAGCAGTCGGAATACCTGTTCAACAGTGAAACGACGTTCTACGATGCCGTTACCGTGCAGTGTACCAATAATTATCGGTACGCCACGGTTGTTCGTTTATTTGCAGGAGCCAAATGATCGGTGCCCATGATCCGCTGCCGATATTTATACGCGTATTGACGTACACTCGACAAATATTAACGATACGTTAACAAGTACGTTAACAGCGCGTAAATATATTACGCACGGTTACCGTTAACCGTCGCACGGCAAAGTGCGAAATGAAATATTTATATACATCTCGTACAAGTATTTGATTCGTGCAAACGTGACGAACGATATTTCGATCGAATTTCTAGATCGTTCAATAGCCAGAATTTTGCGCTTCGAACGGGTCCAAACCGACCCACGGTCTCGTCGTTAACACCCGCGATTAATAAATGGTCGCCAAAGCGTCGAGTCGCCAAACACGCAACAATATCGTCGTCGCTCTATCACGTTCGAGCATTCGATTCCCGAGCTTTCATCAGATCCCTCAAATACAAGTCGATATCGCCGGTGCTCCCTCCCCCTCCGATACTTGTGCTGGCCGGTTTGCTCGCAGAAAGTATTGGCGCGAAGTCGCGCTCGACGGAGGGTCAAAGCCGAAAAAAGAGGTAAAGCTTTATATCGAGGAAAAGGGGATTTCGGATTTGCTGGACCATGTCCACCCATTGCATCGTTTACGTCCAATACAAACGAATGGGCGAATGAACGGACTAGGAAGAAAGACAGATAGAGGGTGGGCATGGGGGACGGTGACTATGGAAGGGGGTGCAAAGCAAGAGAGCGATGACGGTGGAAAGAGCTCGGTGTGGGGTCGGTGAGGGGTGGTGGTGGGCGGAGGAGGGGGGGAGGGCCTGAGAAACGGGAGCAGCGACCGGGATTTTAACGTCGAGCACACTCGTTTCGAGTCGATAGGTCCACTTCGGCTGGCTTGGGAAGCAGTCGACATGGTCCAGCAACTTCCTCCCCCCACCTCAAACCCCCTAACCATCCCTTTTCTCCTCTTATATATCCCTCGGTCCGAGACATCATCTCTCCGTATTCGAAAACAGGGCGCTAGCGAGTTTTCATAGACGGTGTTCTCTCGGCTGCTAATAAAACCCGTGGTCCCGATATAACCGGACTTCCGTGGAACTGTGTTATTCGATACGCGGCGACCAACGAACGGAAGAAGAACAGGCCACTCGGAGAACATCGCAATTAACATAACTATCGAATTCCCATTGGGGCTTCGGCCACCGGTAATTCCCGCTTTCGAGCGATAATATTTACGCCCGCTGTTTATGCTGGTGCAACGCTATCGGCGGCCACAGGCGGGGAGACACAATGGCGGGCGAAATTATAAGACACCCCGAGAATTACTCGGATAAGGACTCGACTCTTTACTTCGGAACTAAAACAATTCATTCCCGACCTGAAACGTCGAAGGTAATAAATTTTAATGGGACTCGCGAACTTTAGCTTGCATTCGAAAACAAGCACTACGAGAAATTTTAATTTGTTTACAATTATCTAAACTCAAAGTTCTCATAACAATGAATATTACAAATAACACAATTTTTATGTTAACGTATGGGGGTTTTGTAGAACTTTTGCACGTAAGTTTTCCCAAGTCAGTGTTAATATTACTGTTACGTGTGACATAACTTGCGAATATCGATATCAATTCATCGAAGTCGTCGTGGCACAGATGGCACGAGTACATCGTTGGTGTAATATAATACATAAAACGTACGATTGAATTCCGTTCACCGAATATCTCTTTTCTCTTAATTGGTTTCAATTACATTTGCAACAGCGACGCGCGTGATACCGTACGATAGTTATACATGCATTAACGGCACGAAAACATTCGATATCTCGGCCATCCGTGAACAGCCCAAACCACTTCCTTCTTGTAAACATTGAAATTATCTCAGCAGTCCCATGAATACAATTATTAAATATACTGTAAGTTTCTCGAGGTCGTACATCCCGCTACGCACTGTTGCAAAGATACGAGAAACGATCTTTCTTATTAAAATTAATGAGATAAGATTAGTCTAATTGGATGTAACGGATTGTGATACGACGCTGATTAACAGTGAAATATAATTAGTAACAACTCGTGAAGATCAGATTTAAGTGTGCAAGGTGTAGTGCGATGCTCTTAACATTAATAATTTATTTTAGCCGACATTATTGAAGAACCTCAATATTTGTCCACTGTCATAGTCGTAAATGGAATTAATTGAAACAAGCAATTGAGCCCTTCCCCGATCAGTAAATATTATCCACGATCGATATAACTGAAAGGAACGTATATATTGATACTTTAACTGACGATTATCATTAGCTGAACGATTCACCGGAGCTCCATCAGGAAATCAACACTGGCAATAGGGTGCAAAAAAAAATGGAGAACTCATTGCAAATGACGTTACAAGCGAATCGATCGAATACTTGAATACGAGACTCGAATACTTTTGGGCGAAACAAATCGCTAAAATTCCAATGGAGAATAAAATGCGTTTACCATCGGAAGGTTAAAATGGAAATGGATCGTCCCGATGGATAAAGCACTTTTTATTCCGCCGCATAGGCAGACGCAGTGAAATTTTATTTAACAGTTCCCGCGTGTTGAACGGGTCCTTTTTAAAACAATGGTCTTGATGTAATTGAGGAACATCCTCTCGCTGCGAAAGGGTTTCAGGTATTATTAAAATCATTATTCCCGCCTCTCAGCATTCGCGCGGAAATAAATAGGGTGTGTGTCGACGGGGGTGGTAGGAGCCATATTACTTTCGGGAGACGCGGAAAATGGACTCGCGTATACACCAAGCGGCATCGAGAATGTATGGAAATGAATAAGCGGAAATATTACGTTTAAAGAGAGAGAAAACTCGGATTCGAGGAGACAAAGGGAGCACGATAAACGCGCTAGAGAACAAACGTTGTAACGTTGCGAGCTTTGCGTGCAGGTTGAGCGAGTTTACTCGATAAATTGCTAAATCATCATTTTATTTACTGTACGTCGATATGCATTGATCTTCGAGTGGGGTGTTTCGTACTCAAATGTATATGAATCTGTTTAAATTATTTAATGGTGGAGGTTTTTAATAAACTTAACGTGGGATAAGAAATGGATTGATTTAAGTGCTGTCTGTGGATGGAACAAACATTTTGCACTCTTGAGTTTACTCGATAAATTGCTAAATCATCGTTTTATTTACTGTACATCGATATGCATTGATCTTCGAATGGCACTGTGGGGTGTTTCGTACTCAAACGTGTACGAATCTGTTTAAATTATTTAATGGTGGAGGTTTTTAATAAACTTAACGTGGGATAAGAAATGGAGTGATTTAAGTGCTGTCCGTGGATGGAACAAACATTTTGCACTCTCAAAAATTGGGTCTTATTTACGTTGATTGGGTCATCCTTTTTAGGTGCGTCGACGAACACGTTGCTGAGGAGTGCATGAGAGACGGAAATAGGGTTGTAAAATGGCAGGAACTTGCACTCATCTAGGATCACCAAGACCATAAACCTAGATGGTCAAGCATTTGAATGAATGACCCAGTATCTGCGAGGGACGACGTTCGGGGATGGTCGAATGATGCGTTAATACGTAAACGTTTACAATTTATAAATTATTTCACTCGAGCTTCACTTTTTACGAATGGTAAACACGGGTGATCACTATTTTTAGTTTGTCGTGTCTAAATTCTACAAATTATAAAACGTCAAATTACCGAAATAGGGAAATTTTGTTATCGTCGCGAAATAATAACGATCAATTACCAATTAAAAATCTATTTGCCCGTAAATCTCATTAATGCGTACACCTAATTACCAGCGAACGCATTACTCGCCCCGTCCGCATTATTAAACAGCCTGGATATTTACTTTCGTGGCGTTCAAATTTGTTCGAAACATTATTTAAGTTTCTCTCGACTGTCGCGTATAATGCACGAATCAAACACGATGAAAGAAAGTACGCGTTCGACGTGTTTCGACGATCGTTGATTAAACCTATCGTGGGCTCTTTTAAAACTTGCACCGGAGTTTTCCCGCAACTTTCGTTCGCCTAAACTTGTACGCGTTCGCCATAGAAACGCGGCCGACAAATCCATCAAACCGAGCCGGTCGATCAATTGCCAATGACTCGCCGCTATTAAACATATTCAATGAAGTAGCGATTGACAAGGGACGTATTCTGTCATCGACAGGAATTGTGCGACGCGTCGCGTTTCAACGGCAGGGAGACGCGGGAAAATTAATCATGCCACAGCGTTTCCACGATTGATGGTCGCCGCCTGACTCAAAAAC